TATTTGTATCAAAAGGGTTGAATTTTAGATGCTTTCAGTCTATCCATTTTCTCTTCGCTGACATTGTTCCCGTTTAATACATTTAATTCAAAGTCTAAGTCATCAATTCTTTGAAATGGTAAATTATTAGCTAAACAATATTGACACAAATCAGTTTTATTTCTGGTTATGTTGAGATCAAACTTTATGCATGTGGACACAGCATGAAACCAACTGGCACATGAGACACATTCAATTGAGTTTTGTGTTTTTAGTATAGTTTTAGAGCAAGATGAGCATATCTTTTTTTGCTCATTGTCGAGTGTGGTCATTCAAATGCTTTCAGAGTGTTAATTTTTAAGAGAAAAGTGCAATATGTAGTAATAAATATATAGTATAGAATACTATAGATTATCAGTGTAGTGTTTCAAGACCTATTATAAATGCGACCCTCTATTATTAATTTATCCCGTACAATTTTGGCCCGTTTACCTTCAGCTTTCGCTTTTTTAAGCTCCGGATACAAGGTTTTCCTAACGCTTTCTATCTCCTCTGGAAATTGTTCAGCTATGCCAATGTTGGTCCCTTTAAGTTTCTTTGCATTAAGTCGCACATGTTCTCTGTCCTGGTGGTAGTTGAATTTTACAACAATTGGTCTTGGCTTCCGGTTATCTTCTCTTTTTCGCCCAATTCTATGCGATCGATCAATTTTACATCTTCTTTTGCGTTATGCATCTCCAGCTTCGTTTCTAGTAGCTCATGTATTAAATCCGTGGTATTTTCTTGTTCGCTTTCAGGTAAATTAAAAAACAGAAGGTTGTCTCGCATTGATCTCACCTGGATATCAACCATTTTGTTGCCCAAAGTGGTGTTTTCTTGCTCTAATTTTTCAATTTTCTCTGTTGTTACTGATAGATTACCTTTGAGTACTTCATTTTCTTTCTTTAGATCTGATATTTCAGCGTGCGCATATTCCAAAGAGTGCTTAATTTCTTTCATATCAGTTTCAATACTGTCAAGCTTCTCGAGTTTCTTCATCATCAGGGTTACTGGTAGCGAAATATGAAAGGTTATCCTGTTTGTTAATATAAAACGGATGAAACATGAGCAGTGCTTGTGTTTGTGGCCACGGATAAGGATATGTAGGTGCAAGTAATGGAGCTCGTAATGGAGTATTGTCCAAGGCACTTTGTCGCAATGCCATATCTAGTTGCGCTTGTTCTTTCTCTTCTGTGACAGGCTTACAACGATTAAGCAAATTTGAACTTAATGGTGCTGAGTATTCCGAAGAACCATAGTAATTTGGATCAGGAAAACGTATACCATGTGTCTCCAATACACTTCTCGCTGGATCCCTCTTTTGGTCTTTACTCGTGTTTGTTGTTCTGCGCCCGACGTGCTTGCGCCTTCTAATGCCAAAGACAATATATCCGAAAGATTATGTTTAGCAGGTATCTTGCCACTGAAGTGCTCTTTACAATACTTTTTGATGATAAAAACATGTTTTCGCAACAAAGACCAATTTTTACTGCCATTTACCATATAGAGATTCACATTTTCTTCAAGAAGTGATGATTTGACTTGGTTGGCCAAACTTTCGTTTAAAGTTTTTTCGAGGCTAGCTCTTTCAAGTCCCTCTCCTGTTCAAATTTGGCAATATCAGCTTTTAATTTTCGAATGGATAGGCGCGTTCCACGGGAGTCAATCTCGCCTGGGGTGTGTTTTTCCTCACCACAATAAAATACTAAATTATATTTTTCATTGTCACAGTTTCGTGTTGTGTGTCCAAGTCGCATATGGCAGTTACGACTCATGTTACCATCCGAAGGATTGGATTTAACTTTTAAAAGTTTTCATTGCACCTTGTGGTCTCTCTGTTCAACATTGAGTAACGCAGCTCTTTTTGCTTCGATGTCACGTCGATTTTTTTTCTGTATCATTGATATGGCGTTAGCTCGGATTCCTCGGAACTTGAAGCAGCGTTGGCAGAAAACATTTGCCTAATTTCCTCCCCCTCATTGAGGTCATCATTAGTAAAGGATAAACACTTAGACACTTTGCATAAGCGCGGCCGTTTATTGCAAGATGGGCCGGATGACAACAACGATTGTTGTTTCTCGACAGGAGTGCAAGCATCGTCAACTCTCCAGCATAGGCGAGTAATCTTGACATCACTATGTGATATCGGTTGGCAGTTGATATGCTCAGTGATTGTTTAGATCTTAGTAAATTAAAAGAGAATATAACGTCTAAAAGTATTGTTTATGATGGAACAAGAATAAAATAGTGCTGCAACTATGAGTTACTGAGAGTATTTGTTGAATCTGCTTTTCGCCAACATGGGAAATGGTGGCCCTCAGGCGGCAGTGCAAAAAGATTTGATTCTTCTACGTCTGATTTTGTAGTCGTATGGTATCCTGGCGAACTCAATATGCTAACATTTAATGGAGACGTTGGTTAGCTGGTGAAAGAACGCTTAATAAAACTTTGTACATCTTCCCCTTTGGGTATGCTAGAAAATATAGAGCAACATCAATGTGATTGTATTGATTTTAATGCTGGCTTAGACAATCTTAATTTAAAAAGTAGGGTGGACTCTATGCAATCACTAATGAATTCGCAGGGGAGTGGATTGGCACTGAAGATATGTGAATTGAGCAATGAAATAGCTCTGTTGAAGATCGATCTCGAGGAAGAAAAAATCAGAAACGCCTTCTTAGAGCAAGAAGTTAAGTGCCTAAAGAAGAAGTCGAGTTGATTAATTCATACCGATATGGTTCGGCAAGCACTACTGGCAATGTTAAAGAAATCAACATATCACCCAAGCAAGATATAGTTGTTATTGAAGACAGGCCTGCCAGCCGAGCTCTGTAGAATTAGTTGAAGATGTTTACAGGCCGAGCTCAAATCATGTGATTATGGATCAATTGTCACCAGCGGAAAGAATTGATAATCAGCCTCAAGAGTACCATAGTAAACAAAGACACAAATCTAAACAACTAAGTAACAAAGAAGACATAGCTGCTATCGACTACCTCAACAAACAAAACTATGTATTTCAACGTTGAATAAACGTCAAACATCAGATTAAACCAAAATGTCAAACTGGGCAGGATAACCGATCCACATTCGGAATCAGCTCACAGTCGAAATGGATCATATCAAGGTATTCGTCATAGTTCCAAATTCAACCATCAACCTAAGCAAATTGATAGTCGTCTAAAGGCACCCTTGAAACCACCTTGCCGATGGAATAAATTGTATCTAAGGCACCATAAAAAATTTCCTTTTCGGAAGAATCTATTGCCCGAACAGAATCAGTCCCGGGAAAAGCATCTAAACGAAGCTCCAGCCCAGAAATTTTTTGAGAGAACGCATTGCTCGAACAAAATCAGTCTCGGCAAAATCATTCAAACAAAGCCCAGGCCCGAAATTCTTTTTGGAAGGAGGTATTGCTCAAACAGAATCGGTCCTGGCGAAAATATCTAAACTATGTTTTAGCCCTAATGTGAACTTCAGTTCCTTTCCGACTAATGAAGACATTAGCGTAGGCTATGATCCCTTTGATGCCTACTCTACCACCCCCCCCTAGGTGCCTCCCCTTTATTGACACAAATTCCTGTTAGAATTACTGCACATACTACATCTATAACACAGAATAATAGAAGGGCTGTAAATCACGGCATTCTGCGAAGTTTGAAAAAGACAAAGCATTCAAAGACTTACGAAAAGTTACGATTGTATGGGCACCCTTTGCGGGTTTATTGAGATTTCACAAACAGACAGTGAAAGCAATCTTAGTGGGAAACTCAGTGAAGCAATACAAATGAAGTATCCTCTCATTAGCAACACTGATTTCCATTTTGTGATAGCCAACCGCAGGAGAATTTCCAGACCAGTTAGTGACTTTTCGCAGGTGAAGTTGCTTGTTGGCCAGGGGTATCTATATCTCATGATGAAGGATGGCCTTGACTGTGTTCTTTTGGAGGATGAAGTGGATGATAAATTTGCCTTGGATAAGAAAATTTAAATCAATCAGTTTTAAGTTTGTAATGGCTGTATATGGCTACGAACAGCCCCTAGATGCTTGTATTAAAGAAGGGATTGCAGACAACGCAGTAGGAGGGAATAAAACACATTCATGCACTTTTCGCAAATGTCAAGTTTGCTAATGCTTTTTGCTTACATCATATATAACTGGGGTTATAACTGTTATATGGAATTAAATCATGCCATACACACCATACACTCATTTAATTTTTTCTTGTGTTATCGCCAGTCCCTTTTTCCATCCATCAAGAAAATACTCAAAATATTACCTCAAAACTGCACAAAATACAGTTTTACAAAATCTGCTTTTTTATCACTGCACATATTTATTGTGATTGCATGTTAGAATAGATTAATCCATGCAGGGATATATTAGCAGTGACATAGCCAGCCTGACGATTTAGTCATGCTATGCAAATTTTATGTTATTATCATTATTTATTTCTTTAGAAATTCATTGTTTTCAAAGTCAATGAACACCAAAATATTAGCATAGCATGACTAAATTGTCGGGCTGGCTACGCCACTGTACATCAGAAACTTTTTTGACATTTCATTTCCCACTTGTCACTCAAATCTGGGCTAGACAGACATCTTAATTTTACAGGTCCATTCATCTCTTAAATAAGATTACCTAAAACTGAAGAATATGGTAGCTGTTATGTAGCAAAATTCAACAAAAAATACCATTTCAACATCAACATATATTTTTTAATATCAACAAATTATCTCAACTTCAACAATAAAAAGGAACCAACTTTTAACAATTCAAAATATGGAAATTTCAACACTGTAATTTACTTTTCAATTTCAACGTTTAAAATTAATCAAAATCAATGTCAACAAGTGTTAAATTTACTGTCAACAAATTGGGCCGAGCGCGCCGTCACGAAGGAGCCCGCGCGAGCACGTGATTGACCAGTTAGTTATTTTGTGTGACCCCTATTATAGTGTAACTACCCTCTGCCAAGATGGCGGATGAATGGAGATTATTTTTTACTGATTTAGAATCATTGCTAAATTTTTATGAGCAGAACCAGCGTTCGAATGATGTTGTCACGAAAGAGCTACTATCGATTCATTTAGAAATCGCGGTGAAAGCTTTACAAAACATAGTAATCTATATATCTAGTGAGAACAAGCCAGCCGTTCTTGAAATAACAAGGAATTTCCAGGTTATGTACTGGGATTGCCGCCGCACCTGTGAATTTCCTAGGCGTACAAGATGCGCACAAGTTGCTGTAATGTCCCTAGTTTCCCCAAGCCTCGTCATGGATGGTGGAGTTGGTAGACCGAAATTTAACATTAGAGAGGACACTTTAATTGAGCTTCGCGCTCTTGGCTTCAGTTGGACAAACATTGCCAAGATGCTACTTGTCTCCCGGTGGACTATTTATCGGAGGGCTCGTGAGTTTGGCCTCATCTACATGAGCAGATTTAGTGACATTACGGACCAACAGTTGGACGATAAAGTGCGTTCTTTTATCAACGAACATGGGAACCTTGTAGGGTCTTCCATTGTGTGGGGGCACTTGCGATCTGCGGGCCTAACTGTACAACGAGAACGGGTTTGTAAGTGTTTAGCACGTATTGATCCTGACAATATCAGGATACGTTGGGCAGTAACAGTCTCAAGAAGAGCCTATCAAGTGCCAATTGAATGTTGATATCATTGACCTCAACAATAGAAAGTCCATCATCCATTGGACTAGGTGCAAATGGGTCAAAACCATACCAAGTTGTGTCATCAACTGACTGGTATTGCTCCATGTCAGCAACTGCTGTTTGCTGACAATTTCTTACATCCAGCATGCCATTCACCCAAATCCTCCTAGGACTCCAATTATTTTCTGTGCGCAATGGATGATTGTTCCATGCAGATGAAAAACTAGTCAATGCTCTGTTTATGCGTAGCAAAAAGACATAATGAAGTACATACATATGCAGCATGTTGTTCACATCCAGTAAACCACATTCCTCCATTGCTTGGAAAGTGTAATAAAAAATATGGGTAACACACCTGAAGACATCACGCCAAAGGCGTTCTATTCGTTGATTATGATGGGAAGAGCCCACTAGATAACTTCCTCTATTGGGCCCTCTTCTTTCCTCCATTAATTCCCATACTTGTACATTTTCTCCACCATGATCTGTTCGCACTTTTGATGGCCACCCATACACTCCTGTTGCAGCAAGGAACAAATCTTTAACAGTAAGACTATAATTATTGGTTGAACAATGTAAGTAGGTGATCAATCTTGAAAAGCCATCAATTGCTCCATGTACTACGAATCCCCAGTGTATTAAACTATGATGGCCATCTATGTGCCAAAGACTGTTTGGCCCTACCTATAGGTGTTGTAAATAATCTTGCAGAATCTATAAACCCACTTCAACTATCAAACAGATATGGCATTGATATTTTTATCAGTGTTATGATTTATTTGTCATTAGATAGTCTGAATGAGTCTCATTAGAATGGGCTCTTTCTTTTTGTTCAGTATTTTTTTAAAAATTCTAAAGCTCTTGCAACATAAAACAATTCAGTAATTAATGCAATAAATTACAAGGGCATGTACACACTGCCAGTACAACCAGATTCAGATATAAATACAGCACTCAAATTTGGAATTATGTTTGAAAATTGGTACCCAATGAATAACTATTTTATGTACTTGGGAGATGAGAGTCCTATTTAGAGGTTCTGACAATCATAACAGTAATTTTTTGATTAATTTTTATAATTTTTTGAAGAAACACATACATTAGCTCTTAACTATAATGACTATATATGCACCCTTTCCTTTATAATACCATAATGGGGAATCGTATACAGACACATTAATTGGCCAGTAATCAACCTCCAATAAAACCACAGTGGAGAATGCATTCTCCAAAAAATCATATTTAACCCAAAATATATTTAACTCAATATTTACATAACAAGAATCCCAGTGATTGAATCCCAATGATTCTCAGCATGCATTGCACACAGCCTGATTATTTAGGCAAGTATATAACAATGTTGGTTTCTATGCATGCACATGTGATTGAACATGACATTCAATGTTTCTCATTGTGTTGTCCTAAATTTGTAACAAAAACACTAACAAAATATCAAATTAAGTTTTTTTAGCCACCTATTTTCTAAAATATGTACTGTATTGTTTAGTTAGTAATTTTTAATTCCATCTTAACCAGTAGTGAAAGAGGAGCCTTTTATCACTGACTTCATAGCCATATCAAACGCAGTGTAACTTTCAAATTGCATTGGGAGCTTCAATTCAAATAAACAAGTGGAAACAAAAATGCTATCGGAAGAGTGGCAAGATACATATATGTGACGTGGCAGGTGAGACGATGGTGAACCGGTGACAAACTTTCGAAAAGCTTTTACTTCATAATCTGTAGAATTTCGAAGAAAATTTTTGAGCATTTGGTAAATCCTTTCCTCATTTACATTTTGGTTGTCTTCAAATCGTATATATTTCAGCAAATCATCACTATTTGAACCACCTTGATTAACAAAGCACTCCTCAAAAAGACTGGGATGGTGCTCCATTGCATCTAAGAGACCAAGGATTGAAAGCCCTTTTCTAAATTGATCAAGGAGTGATTTTCTTTTTACAAGTATATCATGCAGCATCAGTGATTGAAGAATGTCTAACTGGTTACTGGCCTATAGTAAATATAAACAAAGAAATGTTAATCACATTATTTTTATCAATTATTGTTTTAATCTGATTAAAATGCTCTGAGTTGATTTTAGGGAGTAGAAAAGATTGTGTTTATTCAAGCCAATTGTCATTGCCTTGTATGTACATGCATTATATTGTAATCAAAGTTACCCAACTGCCAAAACATTTTTCAGATTTGAAAAGGGCTAATCATAGTTTATTGCTCCACAGGAGTTGAAGAAATAATTAAACTAGCCTAGTATTCTTGCTCTGCCTAAAACTGCTGTAGCCTATTTTTTTAATCTTGTCAAACATATGTAGGTACTTCACAGGATGTATTTTGAACTAGTATACAAAATGCACATACTGTCAGGATTCGTGTTTCCCCAGCCTCACACATGAGTTGGGTAAACTCTGCTTCTGAGTTTATCTCTGATAATTCATCATCTGATGCTTTGAGATCTAAACAACAATAAGTTTAATTGGTAGTTCATGTTTCATTTAACTGACTGAGTTTTGGTTCAATATTATCCGACATTATTTTGTGCTATACCTGATCAATGTACTTTTGCAACTCTGGACTGGTAACATCCAAACAAGACATTCTACAAAGGGCAGTTTGCAAGTTTCCAGTTGCCAGGTACCAATAGATAGTTGGAGCCAAGTAAGGGAAACCTGGCCCACCTTGAACAAGGCTATGGGAAATCATTTTCCCCAGTACTGCAAAAAAACCATTAACAACAAGTTCACTGCTGAAGAATGGCACCTTTCGCAATGGTTCTCCAATAAATAGGTGTTTTATCACCTCGTTATTTGACAGGGAGAAAAACACTTCACTAAACACTTGTCGTAATACACCACCTATGTCAATTGCAGGTTGGCCTTTAATAAACACAGATATTGGTACAAGGGGATCAAAGTCGAGACTCTTATAAAAAGAGTACACATCCATCACTTGATCTGAATAGTCTACTTTTAACTTTTCCTTCATTCCTCTTTGGTGCATTTTACTTCTTAATTGTCGCAATATGGTGGAAAGATCCTGTGGTTTTGAGTCCTCTAATGTGTGCTCACCTGTATCACTAAAACCTTCTGGCAATTCACTGTCGTCTGAGTTTGTTGTTTGAGCTGACCTGGATATGGTGAGGAGGTAATTAGCTGCTGCTTCTGTTGTTCCCTGAGTGGTTACTGCCCTTCTTATAGATCCTTGGGAGAAACTTGGAAACACTGTCGATATACTTGCTACTTGTTCATCTATTGTCTGTGCTGAATTTTCCCTTGGCAATAGGTATGACTCCTGCAGGCCATCTTCTCTTGTTTCATTGTTATCACTGTCTGCATTTGATGTAGAGGGGGTGAAACAAATTATGCTGTGGAGGTAAATGGTAAGTTAGCTGTATCCATAGGCAAAGAAGAACTATTATCTTCACTTGATGTTGCGGCTTCTGTAAATTGAATGTCCTCTAGGTCACTGGACAATCTAACATATAATCGACCATTGCCACACAGGTGTTTGACATGTTCAAAATCCCATTGGTGGCCATCTTTAACCACTGGAGAAGAAATAACATTTCTTTCACGCTTTACAAATTCAAAATCATGGATTGTTAGACATGGGAATTTTTTATTAAACACTGCTGTAATTTCTCTTCTGATATCTTCCTCTGTGTGGTTACTCATGATATCAATTTCACCTTTTATAAGAACCATGTCCTCTGTAATAGAGTACTCATCATATACACCATCATTTATACCAAAATGCTCCTCACTAGGCTTATCCAGCATCCAAACCGTCTTTGGGACAGTTTTTACTTCACAGGTTTGCTTCGCTTAAATCTCAAGGAATGACCAGGCACAGACGTTGGTCTCTTGACAGCCACAGGTTGACTATAGTTTGTGATTGTCGTGTTTCCACCCACTCTAGGTCTAGGATTTGTAGATGAAAATGCCGTCAACGATAAGGATCTGTTATCCTGATTATTACTTGTCAAATTACGTTCAAGGTCTCTTGCAGAAGATGCAGCCGATGAACGGATAAGATTGCGTGTTCTTTGTACTAAATTCTGTTCAAGTTCCTCTCTTACACAACGCCTGATAGCATCTTCGTCCGCCATCTTGGCAGGGTCAATCACGTGCTCGGGTAGTTACTTTATGTGACCCCTACTATAGTGATATAGCCCTCCTTAGACCACCTTAGCCCTACTTAGACCACCTTAGCCCTACTTAGACCACCTTAGCCTACCTTAGACCGCCTTAGACTACCTTAGACCTCCTTCGACCGCCTTAGACCACCTTAGGGCTAAGGCGGGCTAAGGAGGGCTAAGGCAGTCTAAGGTGGGTTAAGTTGGTCTAAGGAGGTGGTCTAAGGTGGGCTAAGCCGGGTTACGGAGGGCTAAGGTGGACTATGATCTGTGATACACTATAATAGATACTCCCCTATTATATTTCCAATATAATAGGGGTCACACATATATGACCCCTATTATATTTCCAATATACATGACCCCTATTATGGGCACACAAAGTAACTACCCGTGCTCGCGCGGGCTCCTTCGTGACGGCGCGCTCGGCCCAATTTGTTGACAGTAAATTTAACACTTGTTGACATTGATTATAGAAGTGTTGATTTTGATTAATTTTAAACGTTGAAATTGAAAAGTAAATTACAGTGTTGAAATTGCCATATTTTGAATTGTTAAAAGTTGGTTCCTTTTTATTGTTGAAGTTGAGATAATTTGTTGATATTGAAAAATATATGTTGATGTTGAAATGGTATTTTTTTGTTGAATTTTGCTACATAACAGCTACCATAGAAAAATCAGATCTTAAAAAAAAGATGAAGGAAGGGAATGACACATCTACCAATCAAAGTCTGAATAATCTCTCTAAGAGCATTAACAAGGTGGGTTTATGTGAAATCGCCAAACATCTACCCATATTTATTTATCTTTTCCGACCTACAGCTAAATTGT